ATCTTTAAAAAATGAATAATTCATACAGGATTAGGTGGCTATACATCGATAGTAGAACTCTTTCTTCTCCAAGCAAATGTACCATGGAATCAAAGAACACGGAATTTTCGAGAAATATTCACAACCAGTTGCCGGGATGCCTTTGTTATCGGAACTTCTTACGCTACAAAACCAAGCATGCCTTATTATGGACATGTACGTGTTATCAATATTTTCACATTTTTATATGTGAAAATACTATTGTGTGAATAATACTATTATGTCAATAAAAAGTTATGATAATATATCACTGCTACATAAATAACAATGTAATAATAGATATCAAATTGCGATAATTTACGAATCATATCACGAATCAAAACATCGTTATTTTATCATTTGTAATTCTATTCTACTGATCTAATTCTATTCAATTTAATCTATTAAGTTTCAATCAGGCTATTATCATACACAGGATTCCGAGTACTATTTCTCGTAAACCTGATTATTGTTGCAGCTCATTATGAATGCAACGTATAGAGCACCTATGGATATTAGGAACGAGAGTCGTCTTATTTTCGCAGAGAGGGGTAACGGACAGACAAGAATAGAAAAGTTAACTGATCCTAACCAAATGAAATTCACCAACAATGGCATTTTCTTTGTCAGCGAGGGTAGGACGGGTCTTGTTATCAGAGTGCGTGCAAAAGGTCGAAAAACTATTAACACAGATATCATAACTTCAATGCAAACGGTTCTTTACGAAAAATATAAAAGGAATGAAGATAAAGTTGTTGGTAATTAGTAGTCTGATGCATATAATTAAAAAAGGATATATAAAGACAATCACATAATTTTTTATGTCTGGCCTCAAAGCTTTAGGTGGTGTTTTAAAAATGACAAACGGAAGTGTGGCGTGTAATCTTATGTGGGACGATTATGAGGAGCCGTTAGAATCATTTGGTGATATTATTAGAAGTCAGCAATGTGCCGAGATACATCTAGAGTCAGATATGATAGCCGTTGGTATAATTACTAATGATATGCCACAACTATCTGAAGAACAGCGTTACGGTGTTGTAAGTTATTTGTCATAGTTATGCGGACACTAAACACAATTGATCTTGAAGTTACCATATTATATAGTTTACTACAGATAAATATCATTAGAAATTTAATTGTTTATTTATTAATTAATACAATTACTTTTGT